GTTGATCTGGACTCTTACAATGGATTTTGCAGAATGTAAGTTTCTGAAAGAAGAGATGGGAGTAGGGAGGACATTTCTTAAACATTTTGTCTGGGGTAACATTTGCTGGGTTTTTCTTTGCAACCTAGCGCATCCTGGAATAGCTCAGAGTGGTGTCAACAGTGCCCATTGATCTAGAAGGTTTGATAGCCAAGAAGCCAAATAAAGGGGCAAGAGGTCACACTATCCCATTGTGATATTTATTGCTGCATGCCATTTGTCAGTATAGAGCATGCAGAAGGCGAAGCCATTTCTAGAAATGGCTAAACAGCTACAGGAATGAAATGGCAGCTGTCCTAGAAGTTGCTGTGGTTGTTTACTTCCCCTCTCCCTCCCGTAACGGACTGGTGATGAATCTAAGAATAACTTGACTAACTAAAAATGTAGCCATTACATAAAGCCTGTCCTCCACTAACCACTCTGTTGATTTTCTTCAGCCTGTGAGAGAGTGGTGCTGTGCATAACCTCAATTTTGTATTCCCAGAGCAGGATCCCAATTATCCATTAGTTTTGACACATCTCAGACCCATGGACTTTCCTTGACTAGACAGTTGTGTAGGTAGGTCCCTGCTTTTTGAGAACAGGGAGGTAAACTGTCTTGATTTTTGTTTGGCGGAGAATTCATGTGCATATTATTCTTCCTCCTTCTTACATTTACAGTCCTCTGCATTGATGCTTCATCAGTTCAGGCACAATTGGATACTTGCATGTGCCCACGCTTGCTCACTAGGATTAGAAGGCAAATCCTTCATGTCACAGTGTGGCAAGCAGTTGATTGTGCCAGGGAGACCATCCTGGAAGCCCGCAGTGGATGCACATCAGGCTACGTGTGAACAGGAAGAGCTCCTTCCTGCCTCGGGTGGGTGAGCCGCAGTGGGAGGAATGCAGCCTCATCCAGAGCTTAGCTAAGCTGCTCTTTCTTAGTAACTCAGTGTAGCTATGGTGACTCTTATCACCCACTGTTCTTGATTTGACAACCCTTCTTTGTTTTCCCAGAAAATACTCACTGTGTTCGCCAAGCTTCTGGAAATAGCTACATCCTTTTGTGGTGGAGGATGGCATGGCCATGGGCCAGAGGGGCAGGATATTTTAGCTGTTGCTTGTCAGCACAGCGAGATGGGCGAGTAGCGTTTCAAAAAGTAACACTTCTAAAGCTATGATAAGGTGCTCAGGCTACAGGGTTGGAGCCTGTGTTCATGCTTGAGATAAACTCCACTGTCGGCGCCACATTCACGCCTCCCCTGTCACGTTAGGCACCCCATGGTCCTGCCTTTCCCACTAGTCACTTGCTACAAAGCCTCAGCACAGGGCTATCAGGCCCTGTGCCTTCGTCTACAGAGTCCCCAGGGGCTGCATTGCTCCGTGTGCCCTTGTGGTGACATTGAGGTGACTAGAGGAAATACTGTGCGTTGGAATAGATTTGTCACCGAGGATTGCCACCCTGAACTTTGGACTCAGCCACTTCCCCTTGGGATGCACTGTCTAGCCATTGCTGTCTGGACAAAAGGGAAATGGGTGGACTAGCTATACGTCAGGGCTCGCGGTGTGAGTTAGGGGATGTACAGTAGCGGGGCTGCTTCCCCGTGTGAATGCAAACACCAGATGCACTGTCTGAAGTGACAGACTGGGGAAAGGCAGTTAAATCTGCCTGTGGATGCTGAGGAAAGTAATTATTTCACTCCAGGTTACTTACAGCCCCTCTCTCTCTGTAAAAGTTTGGTTTGAGTCAAATGTTTAGTGGCTGTGGGCTGGACAGAGTTATTCTGGAATTACAGGATTTCATTTAATTAATTTACAGGGACAAAAGACAGTTGTGTTAAGCAACTGAATGCTGCTAGAAAGCTGAAACCCTTGGGGCTGTGCCAATGGGTAAAAGAATCATTCCTCTAACCAAAATAGTTTAATCACTGCAAAAACAGAGTTTAAACCTAGCTTCAGGATGAGAACAATATGGGGTTCAAAGGTTTCCTCCTACATGGATGGTGTCAGCTTCAGCTCACAAAAGAGTGCTCCTTGTAAAGGCAAGTTGTATCATACCCACACTTCCAATGGGCTTATATGGACGGGGAAATGAACAGGATTTTTCACCAAGCTGAAGAGGTCCTCTGTTCACTAAGTGATTGGAGAGTCAAGGTTACTACTTAAGTTAATATAACTGTCAACCAGATTGAGAATCCATGAGACTGGTCGCTGTTGATCAGCTGGACGGATATAGCTTCAGTTCTCTCTCCCTCTAGATGTTTCAGTCCAGACCTTGAAGGATTTTCAACCTATATAGGCCTAAATTCTTTACTCTCATAAATGATACAGTTCTATTGATGTAGGGAAGGTTTTGGCCATTTGCACAAATAAAAAAAAATTGGGTTACAGCTCCATGTGTGCACAGACAGTTTCATGTGTGCCAGTCAGCAAAGAGCATTTTGACACACAGTTTGCTTGCACTCAGTGGAGCAGTCAGGCTTGAGTAGCAGCTGCACATGGAGGGGTTGTGCAGTATGTCTGTGCATGCCTTATAGGCTATAGGAAATGTTGGACTCACTTTCCTGTCAGTGATTTAGCTCCGTGGCCTGTTAAAAGGCCTGAACTTTAATACCCTGCTTACATTGCTGTGCCCCAGTGCAGTGAGTAGGATGTCCAAGAGTAAGTTTGATCTGTGTCTATCTGAACTTCCTGATCTGGGAACATTTCTTCTGTGTATCCACTCACCCTCTCCCCCAGGACTGGTCTCTGTCTGCTCTGCTTTGAAAGCTGGATGGGAATCTATGCAATAGTAAGCAGTAATGGACAGGTAGGGTAAGAATACAGCCACACGATCTGTCTGAGTTGGACACATTACTAGTCCTTTTTACAGGAAATAGTGCTTTCTGAAACATAGGAGAACCCTCCAAAGGGTCTTCATTTGAGCACTCAAAACCCATCATTGAAAAAACCCATCTTGTGAACAGGTGTCCATGCTGTAAACCCTTAACCGTGATTAGTTAAAACCAACAAGCTAGTATGGCTCCTCTTTGCACAGCTGATAGATGCCACAAAACTTTGGAGGCAGAGAATCCTTTTAGTGTCCCTTGCCCACTGGAGATTCTTCACATAACTTCTGCATTGTTTGACCAAGAGGATTTGTTTTACCATGTCACTTCCCTGAGGATAACAGCACATTTTTTGCCTAGTGTTGAAGTGTGAAGACCATTGTGAGCCATGACATCATATCTCAGGCCAGAGCAGATCAGGAAATGACTGAGAAGGCCTAAAATATTGGCCATGGGAAGAATGGATGGAGGAGAGAAGGGATATGATACAGCAACATTCTTTAGCCTAGATAGGTCAGATGCACCTGACAAGTGGACTAGGACCAGGAGATCTTTGACACTTTAGCACATGGTGATATTTTAGTGCAGAGAGGTGGCTTGTGAGAGGCAGAGGTTCTGCCTCTAGGGTGCAAATCCACTAGATGACATGCTAATAAATCAGAGCTGCCCTTAGACAATAAAGTGTAAAGGGGATATGGACCTGAATAGCTAGACTGCTCAGAATCTTTCTTTAACTCTGGGAGGCTTAAAATTAATTCTGGGTCCCAATCTCTAACCACAGCTGGAACAATAATTCCCTCCAGGCACATCAAAACGACCAGTGAGGAAAGAAACATATGTATATTAATGACTATGGCTGTTTTGGGGGGGGTGGAAGGGAAGGAAGGTGGTAATAGGAGAAAACCAGCAAACTACATTTTCTAGCAAATTTAATGTTTTTTGCAAAAAGAAATTATTGTAAATGTTGGTTCATAAACTGAATAGTTTCCACTATTTTTGAACTGATGTAAACTAGAAGGGCATTAGTCAGGTTAAAAAAAAAAAGAGCGGGGGGGGGGGGGGTGGGAGGTTTGTAAGGTAAATTATTTCTGAGGTCTTGCTCAGTGGGTTACAAAGCCGAGGGCTTGTTTTGGTCCAAGATTCCAACAGCCGTGGGGCTTATCACTGAAGTCAGAGCCAAGACAAACCTTTGGGCTGGGTGATGTCAGTCTCATTTTGCCCACAGCACAGGAGGCCTTCATTAAAGTTCAAACAGACTTGACTCGCAGACAGATGTCGTGCTGTCTTGCTGCTGGTTTTGTAAATAATCTGTTGTACAAATTGCTAGAGCACATTTCTCTTTCTATGTAGTTCTCTCTCCTTGTTTCCTTGTGTCAAGCTTTGAGAGCACGATGCTTTTTGGTCTTTTATTCTGTAATTGTATGGGGCACGGGATTGGCCAGTGATTAAAGTCTTGTTTTGAGAAGTGGAAATGTGCATCACTTTCATGGTCTTTTCTGCAGTCTAAGCAACTGTTTGTCTCTGTATTTCCCCCCTGCATGAAGTGTGTATGATGCTCCCCTGTTTCACATGGGTGTTATGAAACTAGGTTGCTGTCTCTGCAGCTTTGCAATTGTAGAGGCAAGAATGAATGAGAGCTTTTGCAGATACTCAGTAATTGCCTGATGACCAGAAAGCTTCTACTGGAGGAGAGAGGCTGCATTTAAAACTTCTATACCTCCTAACTGTAACACTGTGTGGCTTTCCAGAGCTATTTTTTGCACATCCCTAATCATGATACTACTGTACTTTAAACCTCAAAACAGATCCCTACTTACACAGGTCTGAGCGCTTGATTTGGTACCCCTTAACTTAGCTTCAAAGCAAGTACCTTCATTGAGACAACAAAATGTCCCGTCCCTCCAGGCTGAGCTTCTAGGCCCAGTGCCCACTGATTTGTTCCCTAACGATTCTGCCAGCCTGAGGCTGCTAAGCACAAGTGTTGGTGAGCCATGTGTGGAAGGCAGAAAGTTCAGAAGGCAGGAATTCCTGGAGCAGCAAGAGGAGAGGGGCATGACAGGAAGAGGGGACTGATACTTTGCTGAAGAGCCCATCACGAATAGTGCAAGAATAACAGTTCTCTGTCATGGCTACAGATTCCCTTATCTGGGAGCGTTAAGCAGTGGAGCCTGTCGACACTTCTGCCTCGCGCCCTGCTCTGCATTCAGCCGCCTGCAGATACAGAGTGGCTTGAACAAGTTCCAGTGCTCGCTCTCGGAGCTTCCCAGGACCCCGCAGCGCGGCACCGTTGGGCAGCCAGGTGACATCACTGCCAACAGCCGTGTAGGCGCTTCCTGTGTCACATTCCGAACTGAAGAGCCTCTTGCCAAATCCTTGTCGTTCTACACGGTCTTTTTAGGAACAAATGGTCTAATTTTAGCCTGACTGCCACAAACACCTTCCTGAAATAGACTCTGACTCTCTCCTGCCTTGTGCATGTTCTTGAGAGTTTAAAAACAAAATCCCTAGTCCTTAGGGTCCACAGCTAAGGCCTCTGTCAGCCTAAATTTGGGCAGTAAGAAATACTGAGCAGTGCAGCAGGGAAACTGCTGTCACTGTTAGACCCATACTGAGCTGAGCGAGGACAGGAATGTTCCAAAGAGGCAGGAACTCAGGTGATGGCACATCACAGAGGTGTATGGATCTTGTCCAATCTGGATGAGTTGTTCTGTATTTCAAGGACTTTGCAATAGAAAGAACTTGTTTTCTGGACTGGTTGCAGCCAGATACGACATTTAGAAGTATAGTGAATGGACTTACTCAGTGTCCTCTGTGGTTTGCCTAGGACAAGTGCTCTAATCACCACCCTTTCTTTTTGGGGCCTAACTAGATGAGCACTGGCCTAGGAGTCAATAAACTGTGGTTCTGATCCCATAGCAAAGTCAGTTCGTATCTGTCTGTGCTATCCTTGAAGGGCATGTGCAGCAGTGACCTGCTTTGAGAATAAGTAAAAAGCACGTCTAGAAGAATTAAAGGAGCACAGACTCCACAAAATCACTGGGCTTTTATACTCCTGCCTTTTGCTTTTTCCATGAGCTTGAATATGTGAGCTGTTGTACTGAAGGATCAATGCAAGCCTGAACTGCTGTTTTTAATTAGCAGGGAGTAAAAAGCCACATCTTTAAAGAACTCTCTAAATAGGTAAGGAAGAAATGTTTTCAGGCAGCTGTTGTCTTTATGTCACTCTGTTGGGAATGACACACGCCCCCCTTATGTTCTTTAGACCTGCTAATTAAGCAGCTCCTTGTATCTGCAGGTCAGTTGATCAGCTAATGGACTCCCTGCAGTCTCCAATGCACCATGTCCTGAAGGATAAATAGGAAAAGGCAAAAAGCCCCTGGGGATCCAACTGGGTCCCGGGCTGACTTGTCCGTGGGGCCTTTTCTGAGCAGTACTGAAAGCAGGCACATAGGACAAAGAACAATAGTCCCCGAGGTTGTTACCCTGGGGTTTACCAGGGTCATTGGGTATATGGCCTAACCTCTGCAGGGTGTGAGGCTATTAGCCAGGGGAGCTTCCCGGCTTGCCATCATTCAGCTGAGGCCCAAAAATACTGTTGGCTCACATAAGGTGAGTGCAAAGTGGCTGGTGTTACCGAATACTCTAAAGGCCAAGCACCTGGCTCTAGCTGGGCGATGATGGATGGGAACAAAAGTGGCAGTAGGGCTTCACACGCTGAGCATCCCAGCAGGAGCTGGAGTATGCCAGCACATTAATGGAAGGACAGAAGGGACTTGGGGGACAGGACTTCTCCATTCTGGGTGAGCACCTGAATTACCCCAACTACCACACAGTCTGGGATAGCTTTTGCTCTCTTTCTCTAGCAGTATCATCCAGGATCTTTGAAATGTCACTGGCAAGAACTTTGTCAAACTGATTAATTTCAATGAACTATTTTTGTTTCCAGCTTCCCACCACCCTCTCATTTTGACACATCTTTAATAACAAACTTCTTAATACCCTGAAAAGCAATGCAGAGCCCACAGGTTAGGCAATTTACTGGAGGTCATTGAACAGATTGTTAGCAGAGTCAAGTGCTCAGCCTTGATTTTTTTGGCTTCCATTTCTGCATCTGGGCCATAGAGATCATCCCAACTGTCCTGGAATACGTGAGAGTGAGGAACAGTCATTGCCAGAGTGGGTTTGGGAATCAGGACCAGCTAGAAGCTGACAAATACTCCAGGATATGTGCTCTTTTCTATTTCATCTTATTAATCTTGCCTCCCTTTTTACCTGCTCTCTGGTTTCAAGGGCATGCTGCCATGTAACGCCTTGTCTTAAAAGACTTGTTTTGCCCTTCTAGCTTCTCTGGCCTTCTCGATCTCAAAAGGAAAATGCTGTGGCAACTCAATGACATTCCCTTCTTCTCCTTTCACTGCTTGTGCCAAAGTGTGTGTCGGACTAGAGTCCAGTCTTCTCTCAGCAGCGGAAAAGGATGCTTAAAGGACTGTGAATGCACAATTTATCAGGCAGGCCTGTAATGACACCTGGCGTTCAGTCTCGGAAAATGCTGATTATTGTACCGCCCTGCCCTGGCCTTGTGAGAATTCAAATGTAAACAGGCTGGCTGAAGGGGGAAGCAGAGATTCTTGTTTCTAGATTTGCTGAGAGGACCGGGACAGCTTATTTTCCAGGCTCTGCATCCCATGTAACTCAGCAGTATGACTGGTGCAGAATGGCTAAAATAATCCTGTTTGATTGTTTTATGATATTTATGGAAATGAGGTGTTACCTTTGAGTGGTACTCAGGGAAGGCTATAGAGAAACTGATTTCGTATGTCAAACTCAAAAATGGAAACTGGTTTTATCCCTACAGGATTTGTCTAGTTGAAGGTATATCTCTGTGCCTTTGCCTAGGTTGAAATCCACTACCCCATTATAGAGTAAACTTGAGACTTTATGTTAGTCTGATCCAGACCCAGGTTTTCAGTCCGGAAAATGTTTCATCTTACCAAAAGTCAGTCTCAGAGTTAGGCCAGCCAACCTGTACAGCCTCAGCCTTCATCCACTCCAAGCCTTGTTGTATGTTAGGCATAGACAACCCAAAAATCTTTGGAAACCAAGCCACCATATCAAAGCATCAGCCACATGCATAGAAAGCAGCTCATCACTTCCTCCTTCCTCTCTGGAGAGGGATTGTTCAGAGTTGAACCAAAGCATGTCTCGTTAATAAACACTAATTGCCGTCTATCATCAAGCACACAGGGCCATTTTCTACTATTTTCTAAATTAAAAATCCACACTGAAGCCTCTGAAGAGATGAAGATGAGAACAGGCTCAATTTTCCATGCAAATAATTTGCCTCTGATCTTGACCCAGGATTTTCATAACAATTAGAGACAGCGTGGGGCTCCTGTGGCTCTGAACTGCCCTGCGGTACCCAGCTGTCCCTCTCCCTCTCCCCGGTGGTGCTCCTTTCATGCCTGCTTGTGAGGGGATATGTGCACCTGAGACATTTGCCTTCACTGTCTTGAAAGTCATGGCTCTTCAACACCATTTATCTCTGTCCTCCCTTTCCTGTTTTTTTTCCACATTTGATCCCATTTGCTGAGTACTGACAGGAACCAGATGAAAGGATTCCAGCCTTTCAGTATCCGCACTGGGCATCAGCCTAGATTTATATATGTGTTTTTGAGTACATGTGATTTTGTGTTTGTTTAATGCTGTGTGAGCATGCCTGTGCAGCTTCCACACATCTCCAGTAATACCATCGTCAAGCATTTAAAAAAAACAACACACCACTATCCCCTTGGATTCAAGAGGCTGACTTTAAAAAGAGTTATCTTTTTGAAGTGTTTGATTTGTATTCCTCGTGGCTTTCTGTGATACAGTTTGCTGTAATATGATTTACATTTGTTTTCTTCGGTATGAAAGTATCAGAGCAACTTACCAGCTACCTTAATGGGAAAATCTTAACCACATGCAGATATCTTTTAGCAGAAATGAAATTCTATTTGCACCCATGTAAATATTCCATGTAGAAAAGTTCTGAGATCTGGGAAGGTGGGAAGGGAAGTTGTGCTTGAGATGGGCAAAATATCTTGTTAGGTTTTTGTAAGTTGTGAGACAGGAGCGACCATTGTGATGATTGAAGCAAAACCCTGCATGAGTAGAACCATTGAATTTTCTTGAAATAATTCTTGCTTGAACTGGTGAATATATTTTTAGAACAACACCTGATCTTGATTCATAAGACACTAGTGATAGAGTTAGTTCTGTGGTTCATTCCTTTTCATGTAGAAACATGCATTTATTGTGAATATTTCAGCCTCCAATTTTGGCTTACTTATCTGCAAGTCCAAATAGTTCTTTAGCTGACCTTCAGAGATTCCCAGCCCTTGAGAGCAAGTTGACCTCATCACCTCAGGCTAAGTTTGCTTTACATATAGGCACACAGACACTCCTACAGTGACTTTCTCTGAGCTGACTGAAAGGAGCAGCTCTTGGCTTTCATTGTGTAAGGAGACAACTTATATGACGTTTTTCAGTTGTTCTTATTAGCCAAGTGAATGACAAAGAGATACCCTGACCAGCTTCCTTTGAAGTTCATACAGCTACTTTTATTTTAGGAAAAAAAAAATTAGAAACAAAGACCATTGCGGCTTTCCAAGCTTGACTTCCTCTTAAATACATACTTTTATTTTTGTTGCCTTTTGCAACCATTAAGCACTGCCTTGTCTCCCTTAAAAAGAACCTTAATCTGCTAAGATCTTTCTCTTATGCAGCAGTAATGCTCCACATGAACCTGTTAATTGGAAGAGGAGACAGGCCAACCCCTCTCTCCCACACTTGTGCTTCTGTTCCCATCAGAATGGCTCCCTCCCTCTGGAATTGCTCAAAGAAGGTGGCTAGCAGGATAGGGTTAATAATATGTGCAGCCCACTTACAAATGAATTGAACTCTGTGTAGAGTTACTAATTGTCAATGTCAGGAAGTAATTCAGTTTGCTTTGATTTCTCTAAGTCATATGTAGAAGAGGAATTTACTATGCTCTGCTCATCACTGCAGAGGCGTCTTTTCCTCCAATAAGGAAAGAAAAGCAAATTACAATTTGATGGGAGAAATAGCTTCTCCTTCTAATGTCTTCCATACAGCTAGACTGCATCTCTGTCTCACCATCTACTCCCCTGGTGATTAGATAAGGGAAAAAATACACATATGGAGAGGAGATTCCTTTGTAGTGGAGAGGAGCTGGAAAGACAAAGTGCTGCAGAGACTTAATAGAAGTAATTTAGTATTGTTCCCACTTCATTTTGTATCTCTGAAACAATGATCAAAAAGAGTTATTTACCTGTCCTCTTCTCCAACAGGGTCTCACTACTCCCTCTCCTACTATCTACAGCTATACATGCCTTGCAAGTGGTAGTTTGCAGGAGAGATGTACAGGCTAGCTTGAAATAAGCTGACTCAGGTTCTGAGAGTGTCCTCACTATGTCTGGACTTTGATGGTTAGATTCTGTGTCACCTACAAATATAAACCTACAATAGCTTTACTGGAGTGAAAGGAGTCACATTGCTGTACATCTTTTATCTACCATTCATGCTCCTGATGGAACTCCACCTGCACTTTCATAGCTTCTCCTTGTTTAGAGACATCTTTCTAAATTTCTGTTGGTGTTTTAGCTTCCCAAGTAAACATACTAGTTAAAAATGTGAATTATGGCTAAGAACAAAAAGAATGTTATTTAGAAGAAATGTGTGTGCCTGGGGCAGTCCCAGTCACGTCTTGTCCTGTCACATCTCATCTACAAAACCCGGGAGAAACTCATTTTTCTGCATTGCTTTAATAACATGGTCTCCAAGCTGTGCCCTGTGTTCTAAACTGGCACCTTTGTCACCTTCCCCCAAAGCAGGTGAGCCCAATGAAGTGAGGTTCTCCTGGAGGCTCTGGTGGGAGCTTTGATGAAAGCCATTCCTCTGCTTCTGGCTCGTGCCATGGGTGGCACTCTCAGGGGTCCAGGCTGGTCTGGAATTCCCTTGAGTGTGACTGTCAGGGCTCAGCTCATCCCAGGGCATTGCAGGGCTCTGCTCAGCCAGTGCTGCTCCCGCAGCGCCTGCACTACACTATTGACAGAGAGGAACACACATTAGAGCTTGTATCTGTACACAGCAGAGCCCTCTACTTGCAGGCCAAAGATGCAAGTTCTACATCTCTTGGCCCTTAGTGAATGGCTCATTATCTAGGAAGTCTCACCCTGCTAAATGTTCACCTCCTTACTTGTTGGACAGATCCCTGGCTACTTTCCATCTGCTTTTTCTTGGAGGTTGCTGGATTCCAGTGACACACCAGGCTGTCATTTTGGACACTGTAGTTCTTGTTACCAAGAAGCCAGTAGGTTTTCATTTTCCCTTTGCCCTGGGACAAGAAAAAGGAGAAAGCAGAAAACAGCTATTTTCATGGGATATGAAGCAGAGCAGAGAATCACTATGGCCAGGGCTACTACCTGTAATGCATTTATTATCTCTCATTCTCTCATAAAGTGGCTGATGTTTTGGGAAAGAATTGTAATTTATATGCAGCTTGGGTGCTAATAAGTCTTTCAGTTCAGAAAAAGGCCTTCCTGGTCACTGGCAGTATTGCTAAGGGTTTAAAATCAGCGTTATACTTGTGTGTCTTTGTAACTGAGTCCTAACACTTTTACCCATATTCATGTGGTTCCATGCAGGTGCAGACATAGCAGGTGTATTTCAAAGCATGCAGTAACACTTTTGTGTCGATTAGGAGGAGTAATGTATAGCCACTTCCAACTGAATTAGCAAAAGAACCTTGGGGCCACAGTTAAAAATGGACTTGCAATTCACAGAAGATCAATGGCCAAATCTATCATATCTCCTTCCTATCTCATTAAACTCCTTTACTGTTGCAAAGTTACAGAAAAGCTGTTACCTTGACTTCAATTTCTCCTCTCAGTTCAATTTCATATGCATCATCTGTGAGAAGGGCATCATATGTAGCAGAACTGATATGGATCTTCTGCGCTAGGATTCAGAACAGAGCATTAGAAATGAATGATTCCCCTATTCCCAGAGATCACACACCAGCCCTCCTGCATTTATCAGCCCAGTATTTCCACCTCCTCTTTGGAAAATGTCAGGTTGAGGAAGAAGCACAAAGAAGGGGAAGATGCCTTAAACATTGGTTGAGGACTCTGCGACACTGTACACAGGTATCGGCTAAAACATAGCAGCAGTTCAGCAGGTTAACTGACCCACTGACCTGACTCTGCAGTGCTGCACTGGGTGTCTGCACAACGGCATTGTACAGTAAAAATAGGTGGTGGTGGTAGCAAAGGCAGCATAAAAGGCTGGACCAAGAAAACATGCACTGCCGTCTTCTATGTAGTCATGGTGCTTCTACCTAATGCCTTTGTGTTCAAGTCCTTAAAATCAAACTCTGCTTACCTTGTGCTATTTGGCTTTTGTCACCCTCTTTCTCCTCTTATTTCCAATCGCTTTCCAGAAATGGCATAAGGGATGTGACTCTAACTGACCACGTGAATATGCGAGAGTTTCTCTTGCTTATTTGATAACTAGTGTATGTACTGGGATAGCGGGGACTTCAGGTCATGCATGTGCTGGTTCTTTACATCTATGGTAATTAGTTCTCTAGCCTGGGATGTGCCGCAGAGAATGCTCCTTCTCCTATACAAACTTTATTTCACACTTGGCCATGCCCAATGTGAGGGGGTGTTAGGGGTTTTCCTTTCACTGCAGTACCTAAGAGACGTAGAGTGCAGGTGTGAGCCTGACTGGTGTGTAAGGAACGCACAGATTGGGCCCGAGTCACTTACGCAAGCTGGTGGACTCCATGCGGGAGGCTGTGTTTACAGTGTCCCCAAAAAGGCAATACCGAGGCATTTTGTATCCCACAACTCCAGCTACACAGGGTCCTGAGAAAATACAAGGCGGAGAGAACCCAATAAGAAACAAATGGAAAAAGTGCAGGGAGATGCCAAATGCAGACACCTTTGCCAGTGACTCCGGATCCTCAGAGGGCAATGGGAATTGGGAATACTCAGTGCACCTAGGGCCTGGCTGCACAGTATTTACTTAAGGAGAGAAGTCACAATTTGATTAGCTGTAGCTAATTGGTGCATCAGGGGAAGATGCACTTTGCTTGCACTAAATTGTTGCACAGCCCTTTCCACACTGATGCAAGCAAAAGTCATTTCACCCCGCTGTTACTACTGGAACCAGGAGAAATACTCATCCCGGGGTCCTGCGGAGAGTCAATGGCTCAGAAATGCCAAATTCTTTTCTCCTCACACAATTAGACTGGGTCCTATTCTCTTTTCCTCACGCCTCCACCTCAGCCCATGTACCTGTGTGTATCCCAGCCCGCAGCTGCAGTTTGCCCGTTGGCGTATGAGGGATCACAACCTGACGCACTGCTGCCACCAGATCCAGAGACATTTTGGCAATCTCGTCAGCATGTTTGGTGCCATTCCTCTCTGGCAAGCCGCTCACTACCATGTAGGCATCACCAATGGTTTCCACCTGATGGGAAGGGGCACATATCACTAGCTGGCAGGCACCATGCTTTTCTTTCAAAAGGAGATCAGAATAAAATACATCTCAGCTGTCCACCACTTGCCAAGCCGTGGTGTAGTCCCTGTGCAGTGGCAGGTCTTGGATTTCATGGCCTTTGGCCAGCTGGCCTGGTGTATTTGATATTCACTAAGGAACAAAGTAAGTAAGCGACTTCCAGATTCCTTGCCGGCCAGTTTGTACTCACCTTGTAAACATCGTAAGACTCAATCCTGCTGTCAAAGCAGACGTACAGATTGTTGAGCATCTCAACAACTTGCAAGGGAGTACAGGAGGCAGCAATGCTTGTGAACCCCACGATGTCCGAGAAAAAGATAGTCACCTGTCACAGGGAGAAGGAAAGTGTGAAGCTAAGGTCTCCAGGCAACAGTGGCAGAGCCTTTGAAGAGTTCGGGGATTTGTGAAATTCTGAGCAGAACAGCCTAAGGCACAGGCTGCATGTAGAACCAGTGTGGCAGAACTGAATAGATACAACCCTAAATTAACAAGCTCTGGCTCTGAATTGTTCTCTATTACTTTGACAGATAAAATTAGTTTATCTCCAAAGTTTATCATCTGCGCTTCTCTGAATACCTTGTGTTAGATGGGAGACTGAAAGTCAAATGCTTTGAATCTTGCAAGCAGTGATCAACAGACTTCTTAGAGAATTAGGGCCTGATTTTTCTTTTAAAGTGATTTAAACTGTGGTAGAGATCAAAACTAGGTGTCTACACAAACTGCAAAATAAAAACTCAACTGCTGTCTCTGCTCTTGTTGAATTAGGAAATATTAACTGGGTTTTGTTTCTCTTCATATGATATTTATCTTTGTTATGATCAAGTAATTTACAGAGAAATTCACTTTTAAAAAAAATCAGATTTATAAAAGAAAGAACAACAGAAAACATAATAACTGAATTGAGGAAGGGAAATGTGTATTATAGCTGTTGGCAAAGAATTAAGTGTTTCTCCTCTGTGCTGCCTGAACTTTGTCAGTGTTTAAACTAAAATTGTTCTTTTATTCATCCTTGATAATACCAATTAATCCAGAAGAGCCGCCTTTTCACTCCATGCCTTGGTTCAGCTACTTTTGATGTCATGACTATTGTGAATTATAATTAATTGTGCAGTTACAGGTTGCTGTTTTGATAATGACACCTACAAATGAAATGCAAACATTTATTATTGTGTTTCACAGCTGAAAGTAACAGAGGGGAAAAAGAGTGAATAGAATTGCAATTACTTTAGATGAGGATTTTGGCTGTGGGCTATGCAGCACAGCTGCTCAACTCAGCATTGACAGCAGCATGCAGAGGTGCTGCAAATAAATGGGTGCCTGGCCAAACTCTGCCCTTGTTTTTATGTCGACAGGCTTCGTTACAGTTACGCACTTGAGGCTACGAGATCATCCGTCCCTCTCATGCTTCTCTAAGTCCCATGTTCTCTTTTCAGTTATGTTTATGGAATCATAGTGACAAGTACAGACAGGATTTGTCCTACATTGTTTTTTTGTGATTCTTCCCATTTTACAAGGAGGAAACTCGGTTCTTGCTCTTATGTACTCATGATCTAATGATGCTGGCTGGTTCTCACGAGTAGGCTCTTAAACCCAAAGAAGACAACTTGCCAATATAGGATCTTTGACATCTAAAGCTACGCTTCTGGAAATTTCAGCTCTTCTTCCTTCCTCATCAGCCTAAGTGCTTCATGGCACATTGCACAGCTCTTTCCAAAACCCATCGTGAATATTTGGATTTCCATTCACACTCAACTATGGGTGCAAAACCAGGTTCCTCAAAATGGTGGCAAGGTAGGTGCTTTTTTAGGTGAATACTTTTCTATCCTTGGTGACAGCATCCTTTCTATTTGCTAACCTGATCATAGTTTTCTGCCTCAACTTTTTGGCATTTCCGTAGCTGTTTGGCCACAGATTTTGGCAACATCTGGTGTAAGAGGTCCTCAGCTAGCCGTCTCTCCCTTTTCAAGTCCTCTGTCTTTTCCTTGAGGTTCCTGGCATAATTTTGTATCCAATCTGTCATCTGCTTGAAGGACATCAGCATTATGGGGTAAATGAGGCAGGCTATCACTAACAGACCAATCTTAAGGCTCATTGTGGACAGGATTTCTTTAGATTTCTTGATGAGCTTCTCCTGTCCCTTCTGCAGTAGGCAGCTCTGTACATAATGCAGTCCCTTTACCAAGGCTTCAATGGACACAAATTCATCTGAGCGCAGGAATGGGATGAAAAAAGAGATTCCTTCATAGTGGGTGAAATGAAGTGATAGATTGACATTATCCATCCAGCACTTACGTGCACTCTCTGATGAGAAGATAGCATAGTTCAGAATGGCAAAAAATTGATGCAGTGTTGTTTGAAAGCTTGTAGATGCTGGCATTAAATGAGCTTTAAGCATGGCTTCTCTTATTTGAAGGATGAGTTTAAAAGCTACTATGTCAGCCCAGTCAGGATTGTATCTCACAGCTTTGAGGTCTTTGTGGGGACTACTAAAATGCTCCAGCAGTTCAGAGATCACTCTGGATAGCACCTGGCTGGCTTCAGTATTCCCTGTGCTATTTAATTTTTGTCTCACATCAATGATGTAAAATCTACAAATGGAGATTTTCTCCTTCTTGCATCGGCAATTCTCACAATACAGTTCTGCTTCACTTGCCTTACAGAGGGAGTTTAAATTCCCCAATAGCTGAGCATCAAATGATCTCTTCCTCTTGTCTGCTGCTGGAAACAGCCAGCTGTGCCTTTCTTCCTGCAGGAGATAGATGAAGCGAACAGCCCAAAGGTTTTCACAGGAGGCAAGTTCCTGAAGGGCTTTTCCTGTGTTTCTCCATATTTCCAAGCTGTTGCTCAAATCAAAAGAAATGGCCCCAAGGAGGCTGCAGAGGGAGACCATGCATGCTGCCAAAATCCTTTGAATTGTTTTTCTACCACCAGCATTGGATGGGGGAGAACATCTGAAAAAAGGGAAGGGAGAAGAAAGGGGTGTTTCTTGCAGCTCCTGAAAACATAACTGGAGCTAGCAGTGATATTTAACAATACACATGCATTCTGAAACAGAGTACAGGGATCATGCATTAGCTGAATGTTATTGAAAGACATATTTTATTATATTTTGTTCCACCCGACATTTTATTTTAAAAGGTGTAGTAAAAAGACTGTTTCCATGACACGCTCAGAGCTGCAAACACATATGAATGAAATCGTACAGTTTTTCTGAGAGTATTAAGACTGAGAAAATCATTTGCTGTAGGTTTTATTCTCTGTGGTACTTCTGTTCAAATCTTAAAGAAGCCCATGAAAAGATGGCTTACTTATTTCAGTGATCACAACTGGAACTGTTGAATTGTTTTAATCAAACTTTTAGAATTTGTTCTTAATAGGAATTTCCAGATGATTGGTAATTTGTGTTGATATGTTCAAATGAGCTCAGACGTTTCCACAATATTGTCTAAATATTTCAAAAGGAAAATGAATCAAATTTGTTTTGTTTCAGTTTTTACAGAAGTATATACATATCCAATTTTTACTGTTTGAGCTTCACGATTACCTTTTCTGTCCTTCTCTTTCATGCTGCACGTAATTGAAATCCATGCTCCATACAGAAAAGTAACCTCTAACGACTTTCATTTTCAGAACTATTAACCAATCATTCACAATTTTACATTAATGGTACTCATGAAAACAACTCAGGATGTTATGCTGAAGCTGGTGACTCCTGAATAACTGGGCAACCCTTATTTCTGCTGATAAAGAACAAACCAGGGGACTGCATTGCTGATCAGTCTATTCAGCTCAGTCCTTTCTTTTGGGTTTGTTTTTTTTTCCGGAACATAGTAGAGGTGATTGAAAAAAGCCCTCCTCAGATCCCCTACTCTTTCGGATAGGTGAAAGTACATTTTTAATAAGATAAATAAAAACCCAGTAAAGCCTGCTGTTTCTCAGCAGAGGCTGATACTAGGCAAAACAAGTTCCTGCTGGTTTCTTTGCAGCAGAATGGTGGTCAATGGTTGTAAAGTAGAAGAAAAGGAAGAAAAGTACAGTCCCCAAAGATGAAAAACAGCCATGTTTTCTCTTATTTATTTAATACAATTTATGTTTAATAATTTATTTATTTATTTATTTTCAATTCAAAGGTAACAACTGCAAAATGTCTGACTGAACGGAACCGCAAACCTGGAAAAATTTATCTCTGAACCCAGATGCATTTCTGTTCTCACAACAAACTTACAATCTTTTCCTTACTCTATCTACTGTTTACCTTTGAGTCACTTGTCCTCGGTTTTTAATCAATCATTTTACTTTTGAATCCGCCCATACATGCGGCAGGAGGGAGAAGAAAAACACAACAAAAATCCACCTTGATTTTATACTGCCTGCCTTTTATTACAATGAAAGAAATATAAATAGGGGCTTTAATGTAGTACCAGGCTAAAAGGTGGTGATTCTGCTTGTGCTTTGCAAAAAATCCCCATTTGTGTCTGTGTGCCAGCCGACAGTGACAGTTCAGAGGTCTTCACCTGGCATCTGAATGACTTAAAAACGAGCGACGGCGACGTGAAGGAGGTAGCTCTGCAGAGTCCTGCCGGCACTCACTGCAGGATTTTACCCTTCCCCTTGCTAAGTCCCAAGATGTTAAAAACCTCTCTGTAAAAGCACTTTGCAGCGCTCCCAGACTCACCTGCGTGGACCTGCTTGCGCCCGTGCTGCCTTCCCGCTGGGCATTGCCACTGCTTGCTCTGGTGAGTCCCGCTCGCAGACGCAGGGGTCCCGACAGCTGCCTGCCTGCTGCCTTCAGCCCTGCCAGTGCCTCGCTTTCTCACCCCCTGCCCCCCGGAGTTGTTCTGTGGCTCTCTAACTCTTCCTACTGCCCAGCCTCTTCTCAGCAGACTCACATCTTCCCCCAGGTGAGGCTAGCAAGCTCCAGCCCAAGGCAGGGGAAAGGCTATAAAAGGTCTCCAGCATTATCACTAAATACGGGCTCTGGTCCTGACAATACGCAGGAAGAAGTGAGAAGGACACATGTTTTTTTTTCATGTTGCAAAAAATAGTGTTTATTGCAGTATGGTTAGGTATAATACTCGTGTTGTTAAAAGCATGGTTTCCAGGCTCTTTGTGATCAAAGGTGTCATGATTACGACTTTATTCAAACTGTTTTCCTTCTTGGCATCTATCATCCAGTTCTCTTTGGCTTAGTTGGTTTCTATAACCTACAAAAATGTAAAACAAGTGAAAAATCAGCTCATGAGACCCAGGAGTTTGTGAATAGTATATGATGCATCCAAGATGCAGGATTTAAATAACTGAAATAAGATTTTTGTTTCTCAGACACTTTTTGGATTAAAGTTTATATTAAATTAAAAAATAATTGATGTTCCAGACTTGAGCAGCATGCACTGCCTTCTAGGATGCAATTGCAACAATCAGTGTTATTGATGAATACAAATTCAAGTAATCACTTCTGAAGTCATATCAGTAAAATTTTAATGACTTTGTGTATTTTATATAGCTCTAGTGTGAAGAGAGAATGCATTCCTAAACATCAAGACTTATTTAAAAGTGAAAATGATTTGGATAACTATTTAAGAGGAGGATACTTCATTTTTGCTGCAGAGATTGCTTTTACACTGATAAGGGCTTGTCTACAGAGGTTACTTGTATGTAAAGTAGCATTTGAATCAAAAGTGATACAGCTCCCTGAGTAGGTGGCAGAAATCTCAATCAGAGAGAACCTCAGAAATAGCTAAGTGTCTGTATTCTCTAGGAGCAATACCTAGAACCTTACCTGCTGGATCCAGCTATTGTAAGCAGAGACCCGAGTGAAGACAGAAGGCTTGTGATAATAGTTGCAGCTAAAAGCAGAGCCAAAGCTGACGATACCATGCACTTCCCACCTGCCATCAGCACCTTTGCAGTTCAGTGGGCCACCAGAGTCCCCCTGGGAGGAAGGGGGAACACAGTTAATGGCAGTGGTAGTGTGAATAGCTCCTCCTTGGTTTTTTTAAGCTTTCCTTCCCATCAGGCCTGTTTGTGTCTGAAACCAAGCCCTAAGAGCAGTGTTCTCTGGACTCACATTACAACTGGAGGTGACTCCATCCCCACCAGCACAAACCATGGTGGGTTTCACTGTGCTTCCCCACCAGCTAGGCTTGGAACAAGTTGCGTAATCCACCACCAGCAAAAGGCCTTGCTGCAGGTCATCTGGAAGAGCTCCATTTGCTGGGAGGGAATAGAAACAAAGGAGTCATGGTGCCAGCTGGCACTGAAGAAAGAACAAAACTGCATTGTTAAGTTTCTCCCAGGATCTGGGTACTATCCCTCCAGGTAAGAAACTCCATAGGGGCTGTATTAAAGGAGAAGCTGTACAATCCATTTCTTAGCTCCATTCTTTTATATGTATTTAAAAAAAGGCCTTAACTTACTAATAATTTGCATTCCATTTAAAAATGTCTCATTGTTAGAGAAATAAAAGGCTGTTCTTTGTTCAGGAGTTTGCAATTTACTTATCATTCTAGCAATTGCCTCTTGAGCCAAGCTGACACTTCTGCTGAAGTCTCTGAGATTTTCTTCGCTTTACATCTATTCCCTTATGTGTCTTTTCAGTTATTCAGCGGGGTATGTTAGGATTAGCAAATTCATCAGTCCGCACTGTTAACATTTGTGTTGCAATAGCTTCCAAAAGCTTAGTACAGGGCCCTCTAGTGCATTATTAGCCCCATTACAAGCAAAATAAACTTAAAAGGCAGGGAAAAATAATACTGTGCGAGTGAAGTGGGGCCTGATGAACTACCTCACTACACTGAGGTTGAGGGGATCTTGAGCACCATTAACAGCCATTTTTCCAATCAATCTCAAAGGAGAAGGCAGTACCGAAAGATCTTGTTCCACAATTTTGCAAATGCCCAAGTACTTACTCTGCAGTCTTCCCCATCCTGTCACATAGCAGTGTCGGATGATAGGATGCTTTGTGCAGGGGGGAGGCAGGCCAGCCTAATGTGGTTACTTAAGGTGACGTGTTCAGTGAGTTTGATCAAAGCAATGTCGTACCTGTGGTCATATGCACACATTTGAGAATGGGGAAGAGAAAGGGAAGGGGTGAAGAGGTTTGCAAATAGATTAAGACGCAGTAGCATGAATACTTAGCAGTTATACAGCACTTGGCCTATTCAAAAGAGATGCAAAGGAGCAAGGAGGCCGGTACATAAGCAGTAAAGATTCCTCCACCTTCAAAGCAATGGGGAAATCCATGGACTGGAGGACTATTCCCTGCAGAACTGTCCACTTTCCTTCTGGCAGCTTTCTGGAAATTGCCTTTTATAGGTTCTTTTCACCAAAACCAAGCATGTGTTAGGACTAACTCCAAGGACCTGGAAACTGAGGGGATTTCTTTGCTAATGCCCTTAGCTTGCAGCAGAACATAGGCGTCCTTCAGCAACAAAGATATCAATACCATTGATCAATAATATTCTGTGTTTATGCCGCTCATAGGGGGGCTTCAAAGGGTGTTGTATAAATTAATTCATTCCTTTTCGCTATATGAAAGAAATCATTGCATAGAACAGCTTCCCACCCAAGCATGAACATGCAAAATGGCATCTGAAAACACAATTAATCAATAAGCAATTAGTATTGAAAGATCTTTATCTTCTTTTGAGGGGGAGCGGTACAAACTGGAGACTCAACTCTCATCTATGAACAAACATTTAGAAGTACCACTGTAAACTGTAACAGGAGGGTCTAAACATTTATGCATTTAGCTGCCACAACTCAGGGTGGGTGGGATTCAGGCAGTTTGATTTTTGCCCTGCATCTAATAACTAAAAAAATACTTGCCACCAACTTACCCATTTGCAACATCCTGTGGATCCCAGTTCTCATGGACAATGATTTTTTCTGGAGGAAGTGCAATTGATCCTTCTTCCACAGCTGCTAGGTTGTATTTTCCAAGAAATACTTGGTAATTCATAGAAGAACTGGGCAAGAAAAGGATAACACTCAGTTATGCAGCTGCTGACTTGCTGCTTAGGCATCTGCATCTTTGCCACCTGAGATATTCAGTAAGAATACCTGTAAGACTGTAATCTCACATCACACGCCTGATTTGTCTGGAGCTGAACCAACGTCTGACTGATTTGCTCAGGACAAAGCATTGTGTGCTAGGCTTAATAATCATTTCATCTCCAAGCCATCCTGTCAACTCCTGCTTAAGACTTCATTAACAAATTCAAGATGCCTGCAATCTTTGCAGGACTCAGCTCGTATTCTTCAATGAAGTAAACAATTTGGACTGCTTTTTTGACAGCAATAAACAGCTTCACTGATAAACAGCTGTGCGATAGATATAGTGGATTTATAATAATAACATGTAGCCAATCCTTCTTATTTCATATTATAACATTTTCTACAACTTAGTGTTACAATAACCAAGAACTGTAAGCACATATTCAAGGACATATGCTACCAAACCAAAATAGGGTTGTCTTTGTGGAAACAGTTTTGATGATGAAAGGGCATAGCTGTACCTGAGCATTTCTTTGTTATACTGCCCCATACTAGGAAGAGCTTATTGAAAATGACTGGTATGTTCAAAGCATTTGTGATTATTTCTTCAGGGAGTGGATTGATTAGTTAATCTGTGGATCTCATTGCCACATATATTATAGGAACAGGTAGCACAGCTGAATTTTGATAGCAACTTGAAAACATGTTTGTAGTTATTTACAGAAAATGAAAAGTATGTAATTCAGGTAATTGTATGAGGGTTTTTTCCCCCTCTACTTTTATTTTAAGAAAATGAAAAGGTGTCATTCTTCTTCTGACCTATTAGTTATAATCAAAAGATATGATGTGAAACTTGGAGCTCTTACTTGGGAAAGGGAGAACTGGCATTAATATGGTTTTGCTTCATCTATCTCTGGTCATGCACTGCTTCCTGGGTACAGGCTTTAACTCCATTATTTACCTGATGCAGTGTGCAGCTGTCATCACCCATTGGTTGCAATGAGGGTTCCTCCGCAGGTGTGATACCATTTGCCATTTGAACTGTATTGAAGGGAGGCTTAGGATCAACGTGTCAATTAAGTCTCAGATTTTTGCTTACTGATTTTTTATTGTTGCACTTTCTTTTTTATTGTTGCACTTTCTTCCTGCACCCAGAACACAACTTGCTGCTGGAAGATGGTGGGAGGCTTTTAAGCGAGAAGTTTCCAACTCATGACCACAGAAAAGGTTTCCCTCCTTCCCTATCATCCAAAAGCTTGATTTTTTTTTTTTAAATGTTGTTTCTTCCAAAGCTCTCACTAAGCCTGACCCAAATAGAGCACTTCATTTGCTTCACAAATGTATTTTTGAACTCCATGTACAACCATGCTCCAGTAGGCATTGTATGCTCCACTGAACTTCAGTTGTCTTGCTTAAATATGGGATGGTGCCCAAGACTACTAAAAGAACATGAAAGCCTGCATAACCAGCAAAAGTTGGCACATTCAGAGCTTTCTTAAAAAGACTGGAAACTTTGGGATTGATCGGAATGTAATATTCAAAACCTAAGGCATGACAGGCAAGATGCATCAAATGAAATAAGGCCTGGTTTTGTTCAGCCATGTTGTGTAGGGGTAGCGCAACCCTAACTGTTCCAGGGAAAGCACAAAATGACTAACCTGCCAGGGCCAGCTGTAAGGTCTTGCGTCTTCCCCTCCTACAACTCTAGACACAGCGGGTGGGTAGGCAGGAACCCCGCAGCCAAAGGCTAGAAGACATACAAAATAGGATGTGTGTTTTAGAAGTAGGAGGTTTAAAAAAATGTCTGTAAGAGAGGGGTTGTTTTTTGAATATAGACTGTGTTTGTACAGAACATTGCAAGGTACAAATATAGGCTGTGATTTAATGTGATACAAGTGAAGATACAGCCATCAGTCAAAACTGACCAATGTTACATAAAGTTTGTTTGAATGGTTTCGTTTTTCTGACAGATAATCAAATCAAGTTGGCTTAACCAAATTCTCTTCTGTCAGCTGAGATGCAGCTCTTAGCTGATGCAACAATTCGATGTGGATTAACTGTATTTCAGTGTATTCAAGATAAATAAAATAACTTTGAATTTGCTAAAGGCTGAGAGCAGTAATGCTAATCGAGTCCCTGTAATAAGAACAGAATAGCACAGCACCTAGTTACTATTTTGAGAGAAGTTTTTCATTAACTTCCTATGCTGTATCTCTTTCTGCTTTGCTGCATCTCTTTCTGCTTTGCTGCAGAATGTCCAATTTCCCTAAAAAAGGAAAGTTGTGGTTAGATTTTAATTCATTTTTCCTTTAAAACTAATGCTGAATTTGGGTACGTACCTGCAGCTGCCAGAGTCAGCACAGCAAAGAGGACTCCAAGCATGATGCCGGTTAGCTGTGCGCTGCAGGCTCTGCTTTGCAAGCCATTTTATATGTTATCATTTATCTCTGGGACACGTGACTCAAAATGCAGTGCTATTCTGATACCAATGGAAAACGTGTAATTGTGGGATTATTTTTTTTTTATATGCACAAGTGCCTAAAAAAAGCCCAGTTTAGATGGACCTTGGTTAAAAAAAATTCCAAGTTGCGTATTATCTGTAGCAGCTGTTTGCTTTCCCATTGCCTTGAAAGTTCATCACAAAGGTATTTTCAGAGGGAAAATGTTAAATGAGTTATTCTAACACTTGATGGTATGTCAGCAGTAACAGTGTCTGATATATTCAGACAGTGTCAGCGGGGTTGGATTAGACGATCTCTGGAGGCCCTCTTCCAACCTTAATTATTGTATGATTCTACGATTGCTTGAAATTTTATTTTGTTCTGGTTTGTTTTGTGATTAATGGCATCTAGCACTGTGTACTGACTGAAAACCTGTTATCTTCTTTTCTAGATCAAGTTGCATGTGTTTTAGCATGCCATACTTCTTCAGTAAAACAAACTGTAATCACTTTGAAGTGGAAGATGTTTCAAGCAATACGAAGAACCAGCTGTCCACGATGTCGGAGAAACACTGGTGTAGCACGGTGAGCCAGACTTCATTTCTTTCCTATTTGCCTTTAATTGTTAGATCAGTAGCACATCCCTGGAAGAGAATAGGGTTCCTGTAGCATTGCAAATGAGCATTTTTACACCCCAAATCAGCATGCTGACCTGTGGTATAATGCAGTATGAGCTTGTTAATGAAAAAGGGTAAACCATTTTCACCAATAGGACAAACCAGGCAAGAGCAGGCATTTAGACCACTACAGAGCTGCTGCCACAAAAGAAAGTGTCCTAATTCATTACTGGACATTTGAGATCAATGACTTGATATCAACACTTACCCTTGTGTCTCTTTCTTCCTTTTTTCCCTTCTGCTACGGGAATTTTCCATCCTCGGTCACATTTCCACCTGCCTACCCTTGACCTGAAAAACTGTTACTGGTTATTTAAAAAACAAACATCTCTGTCCCATAAGCCAGGTCACGCATAGGGAGCAAACTTATTAGAATGGAAACAAATATCATAATGCCAGTTTTGTAACCAGAGTTGCATTGTACGTACAGACCAAACTAGAGATTTCAGAAAAGCTGAAATAAATCTATTGTTTAATGTCAGTATTAACAAGCAACAAAATCCCTGATTTTCATAGTTTCCATGCCGCAGTAGGTACTAATTTGGATGAAAGATGCCTGGAGCACACATGTGGAAGGCAGAAATATATAATGCTTTGCTGTTTTGCTGCTTCTCAAGAATGTATTATCCTACCCAAACAATAGCACTTGGGAAAGCTGCATTCTGAATTTCAAATGGAATCAACCAAACTCTGTTCTGGCATCTTGTCTTTATTATCTGACAAAAGCGTGAATCAGGATTAACTGAGTGCAGAATTGAGATTCTAAAAATTTTTTTCCTGAATTAGTTGGCTCTCTTCTTAATGTTTGCATTTACAAGCTGAACAACATACTATGCTTTTCAGTTTAGCTTCCATGCCACTATCATTTTCATTGAATACCAACTAAAAATTAAGTATAAATTTTGGATGCTCAGTTACTCTTTCAACTTTCCTGTTTTATGGGTGTGCTTGTAAACATGGAATTTTGTTTAGTTTTTTAAGCATTTCTGCAATCATTTTGCAAATAACCTTCTGCTATCTTGCACACTGTAAATAGAGAAACCCTTTTTTTTCCTTTTCTTTTTTGTAAAGGTATCCTGAAACAGTTCTTTTATTATATGGAGGGAAGGCTCATAAGAATCTTCATGCTTTTAATGTAAAAACTCTCAAAGCTTTTTTTATTTTATTCTACTGCTGCTTTGTGTAACGATTGCTTATCCATCTTTTCCAGGTCTAGTCTAAATAGGCTGAAGTATCTTTCTTGGACTCGGTGGGCATCATGCTGTTGGCAGTTCTACAAGTGAACATCAAAAGGCTCAGCCTCCAGCTGATACCACGGTGGCTTGGAAACAGCTCCCTAAAAGCTCTTACCATCTTCATGCCAGATGTTTCACAGAAACTAAGCAGTTCATGGAACTTCAGTAAGAAAGAAGGAACTTCTGGTATGTTCTGTTAAAGCGTAATAGCTAATATCTCTTTCAATACACAATGTACTTAGTGTACAATTTATAATGCACTCCATTGCCTCACTATCTTTAGTCTATTCTAGGGTAGTAACTATGCTAGACCAATTAGTGGAATGGTCTGCAGATAAGTAACAGACAGTGAAATCAACTTTTCTGAGGGAGGTTTTTCATCTGAAACTAGACAGTAACCTATGTAAAAATTAAAAGTTAAATCCTGCCCTAGCTTTTCATTGGGAGCACCAAATGTGCCAAATTCATTACTTACTGTATGGCCATTAAATCTGCTACTTGGTTGTTCCCTGGGTTCATTCCTGTGTGTTCTTAAACCTAAAGCTTGGCCTGCATGCCTCAAGATAGAACAAGGTTACACAGAGCCAGGGAAATAGAGATTAGCACCAGCCTGTGTGTTTCAGTCTCTTATTGTGCCTTCCAAATTCTCTGTTCCCAGCTTAGACCCATTTATGTATTATTTTCCACGCTGTATTTCCTTTTCATCCAAGCACTTTTGTAGTCAATACTGGCCACAGATGTAACATAAGGCTCTGCTTTTTTTAACTGGGTGGGGAGCAAGGGGATGAGAGAACACAGACAAAAAAAAAAGAAAAAACAACCACACTTTGGTGATCAGATTAGACTGAAAGATATTTATTTAGAAACAACAGCTTTGGTATTTTAAAACCAAACAACCTTTAAATCTCTAGAAAGTGGGATGTCTCCCCCCATAGCCAAAACAAATCAATGCACAAAGTCTTAATATGCTTAGAATAGGAAACCTGCAGATCAGCATTTCTAAGTGTAAATCCAGAAAACAATTTCATTAAATTGGTTTTGCACTCTACAATCATAAAGGCTGAAAAACCTGTTACCAGCACTTAGATATCTACAGTTCAATTGACTGACTTGTTACTGAAGTGGAGACAAAATTATTAATATCCTCCCCCTCCCCCCAAGCAATAAATTAAAAAATGTATACCAGAAAAGAGGTTACACTAAAGTTTTCTATTAACTTAACTCTCTGAAGGGAACCATCATTCTTTATTTTCCTGTAAAATTAAAAAACAAATCAAAATATCAAAGGTCTTGGTATATCTTCAAGTATTTTCAACAAATGGATTACTCTTAGGGACTGAACAGCTTACAAGGAAAAAGAAACACCTGTTACAGAAGCTTCTGGGATAAACTCTTGAATAACCACACCTTCCAAGTCTCAGATTCCTCTCTTAACAAGGCACAAAAGGATTGTTGCTTTCAGAAGGTCCTTGTTCTCAGCTGCAAAATTGTCAGATGTCTTGTGCAAATGGAGGCTGAAAGCAGGACTAAGTTCACTTGGACACTGGGATGTCCCCATTCAATTAATGAAACAGGGTGTTATTTCAACACCATTAATCTTGCTTACTCCTACAGAGATTTTGAGCTTCAGCTGGCTTCCACTTCATCCCTGTTTCTGGAATCAAGTTCTGCATCATCTTCATTTTAAGTAGGTCCAATTAAGACGAGGCAACAGACTTGTTTGCTGTACACTGCAAGGCTTTTTGCAGCGTCAAGAAGGAAGAGGTGTTACGTCAGCCCTGGTGTGCAGCTGTGAAGCTTCTCGGCATTTCAGAGACTAGTGTCAGGGACAGTTACCTGTAGTAACGGTTAACAAGTCATTCTGTAAAAGGCAGAAGGCAAGTCTTGTAGATGACAAAGGCAACCAGATAGACAGCAGTGAAAAAAGGATGTAATTTTACAATTTCAAGGACACATTTCAGGATGCATGTCAGGGTGCAGCTGTATACACAATAATTGAAATTACTTCCTGACTGCTTCCTCCTTTTGCACTAAGGTTTTGATCATGATCATAGGCTTATAACTGCAGCTGTCTTTAATATACATATCTATTCTACCTCTTCCTAGGTCAGGTTGTCTAGCCACAAGCACCTTCCACTCTCATTCTTTCAACCAATGACAGGTATTCAGACGTGCTTGGGATCAGGCCTAATCTCCAGCGCTCAACATTACAAAGCCAGTGAGCTGAGAGGGAAATTGCCAACTGGCTTTAAACACCCCTTATGTACTGTCAAGTTTAGTCCAGTACCTTCTGTCCAGCCTTACCTATCCAAAATTGAATTTGCTTGTATAATTTGGAAAAACAGGGCAATCTAAAGCGAGAACTTTTCCTCTGACAGCTCTATTTAACTATGTCCTTTTTTATTTCCTTTTTTTTTTTTTTTTTTTAAACACAAGCTACTTTTAACTCTGTTCAACCCTAAGGAGGGATGCCTCTGAACCATATGGCTAGCTCATCACAGCAAATCCAGTCTCGTCTTTCATTTCCACTCTGTATCAACACACAACCAGAAAGTACCAGTAGTAAGAATAGAAATCACCATCTATCCTCTATTCTGTGCTAAGTTTTTACTAGCAACTAGGTTTTCTAAGGCAACTCAAACCAAGAATTTCCTTTACACCAAAGTGAGATGCAGTAGAACCTGAAGTCAGAACCTCCAACTCACAGTAAAAAGCACTCAGTACTTTTCTTAACACAGCTATGTATTTTGTCTGAAGGGGAGAAACACTAACTCAGCACTTTCCCAAAATGATGGTGGTAAATGCGGTTTGATGGAGGACTGCACAGTGTCTATCAATCTATGAACATTTACCAGTAGTCCCAACAAGTCAGCACTTTGAGCTAAGAACACTAGCTTGCATTTGTGTGTTCTTGTATGACACATCACACATTCAAACCAGGCAGACGAGTGTGCACGTCTCCCACACAGTAGTAAAGTGTAGCAGCTCTCTCACAAGCATTCCGGTACTGCATAACAAGAAACATCACCT